AAAAAAAAGCAGCGTGCAGTGTCCCGACCGAAGATCAATCGGGACGCGGGACAAATACCTAAATATCGGGACGGTCCCGATTTTATCGGGACGTCTGGTCACCCTAGTTCCCTAACTGGCCCCATCAAGGATTGAACTCACCCCCCTGGGTTTAGCAGGCCACTGTTCAAACCACTCAGCTATCCCTTTCCCCACAAAAGTTGTCTCCTCCGAGTCTGTACATCTTGTACAGCCCAGCACCCACTGATGATACAAGCTCATAGAAAGGCCGTCATTTCATCAAGAGACAATGATATGCACAGACCCTGCTATCTCAAGTGGATGTTCCCAAACACTTCAATCCAACCAACACCGGTTTAGATAAAACAAGTTTATTAACTACAGAAAGCTTATGCTCCAATACATCTGTTAGTCTATAAGGTGTCACGGGTCTCTTTGTTGCTTTTTACAGAAAGAGAGAGATTTTCAGTGATTACAAGTAATGAGGCATAGAAGTCAGAATTGGTTTTCAAAGGAAAAAAAGATAAAACACCAGCTTATACCTAACAAGCAAAGTGAGCTTAAAAATCAAAGATTTTTCTCAGTATAAACTTAAAGCGGTCTCGATTGGCTGAAAAGCCTCCTAGCCGGGAGCCCTGCCCCAGTTCAAAGATGTTTCCTGTGTCTTTCAAGCTTTGTAGCTGTCCTGAGTAGAGATGGGGGGGAGAGAAGTGATTTGTGTTGTGTGTCCCCTCCATTCGTATACCCTTCTCCCTGTTTGGAGGATTACCTTTAACTGGGATTCAGGCAACAGGCAGTCTGTTTACACAGAAGCTCCCAGTTGTCCTATTGTCAATATGTAAAGTTCTCGCTCACACCCTCCTTCCTGCCACAGAATGGCCATTTAACTAGGTGATTGTCCAATTGATCATGCTGATACATGGCTGGGGTGCCAGTGTGTCTGTCTCCGAAGAACTGGTTTGGGCCTGCCTTTCTAACTCTGGAACATATCACAGCAATGTTACACAGTAGAATCTTATAACTTTACATACAATGCTGCCACACATTTTACTCTGACAATAATGTTCAGCAGATTATGAGTTTTTGAATGATACTTCACAAGGCATACTTTGTACAGAATTTATCATAGTCTTGTTAAAAGGGTGAATGTGGGGTACAGTCTGTCTCAGTGACACTGGGATTTCTCTTCTCCA